TATAAGAACCATGGAATAACTCAAATCAAGACAATGAACGCACTTACCACCTGCAAGTTACCCTGTGCCCATTTATAATCCCTCTGGCTACTCTTCTGTCTTCGGACAATCACTGGTAAACTTTATCACTAATGATTAGTTTGCATTTTCTTGAATTATATAAAAATGGAATCATGCCATATGTACTTTTTTCTTTTGGTCTTTATTATTTGGAGATTCATCTGTGTTTGTAACAGTTATTTATTCCTTTTTTAAAAGGAATTGTTTATCCACTTAAATGTTGGTGAACATTTGGGCTACTTTCCGTTCTTGGCTGTTGCAAGTAAAGGAGCTAGAACATTTTATACAAGTTGTTTATCTCATATACACATTTCACTGCCAAACTGTTCTCCAAAGTGATTATGATTTTACAGTGGTGTCAGCCAGTTGGTCTACATCTCCTCACGTACACTTGGTATGGTTAGCCATCATAGCTATCACTAGTGCTATAGAAACAAAGACACTTCATATTGATGTAGCATTCCTACAACAGACAAGGCAGATGCTTGCTAAAACTTGGTTTTGTATTTCAGTCTTGTTCTTTTAGTGTTATACCTGGTGATCTTATGGTGCATTCAAAGACTATGAAAGGAAACAAATGAAGTAGGGATATCCTATAACGAGTATGAAACATTTTATTTTTGGAAGTGTTTGGTAACCTGGTCAATGTTTTTACCTTTTAGAAAATGGTATCTAATGAATGTTTTTATGGATGGAGTACAAAAGATACTTTGCTTTCATAACTAGTGGAACACAGGGGAGTTTACAAACAAAATGAAAATGGTAATATCCATTTAAAGAAGTACAGGAACAAAGGGTATTTACTGATACTCAAGCTGAAACTCAATACTTGGGGTATTATTATTTTGGAATTTTGCATAAGGGGTTTCATTAACTTCTGACATCCTTGTGTCATGGCTGAAACCACTTGAGTCACTTCATTAAATTTCTCTACACAAGATTTTTGGCCTGGTTTATTGTGTTTTCCAGATATGAGCCTATAGTGGAAGTTATAACAGAATCATGGATAACGCTGACTATTTTAGTTTACCAAGAGCACGTATGAAAGTGTTCACCATGCAGGAGTATGCAGAGACTCTAAATGCTGTCTGTGGCTTTAAATCTTCTTTTATTAGATGTTATTGCTTTTTCTGAAGGATCCAGGATTGGAATTCATATTGATCTCAAGTAGCAAAAAAAGAATGAAAACAACCTATCTGTAACATGTTTTTTTTTCCTTTCTATATAGTTCTATCAATTAATGTATGGAAATGTACTGATGTTAATCTTGAACAAGCCAAGTCAAATATATTCTTGCATTAAATATTTTTAAAATACTTTTAAAAAAAGAGAAAATGATATTTAATCAAAATGAATCCTGGATTCCCACTTGGAGTGGGAGAATATTACAGTTTGAAGCTGTGAGAAAAATTTTAACTGCCATTTCCCTTAACTCCCAACTTTCTTTTTTTATTAAAAACTTTATTTATATGTGGTGCTGAGGATTGAACCCAGAGCCTCGCATATGCTAGGTGAGTGTTCTACAGCTAAGCCACAACCCCAGCCCCCAACTTTCTAACGAGTTACACAATTATTATTTTTGTACAGTACTTTAAAGGCTGCTATTACAAGTTGAACCTATATCTTATTAGGGGCCTCTTGGACCTCTCTCTAGTTTAGGCAACACATTTAGCCAGTTAAAGTGAATCTTTATCACTTTAATCAGCCACGATGATCTGCTAAAATAGGACATGCAGGTAGGCAGAATGATTTTGATCTAGAAGCTGACCTAACAGGTAGTAGTAGGTTTTGCATTGGTTGCAACTGAATGAATAACAGGGCTTTTAAACCTGTTATTGTAGTTGTTGGTTGTGAAATTTAGGGAAACTCCTTGTTGCTACCAAAAGTTAGGTCCATGTAAAGTACACCAAGTGAAAAAAGATTCAGGTAAGAATTGAGGTTTCAAGATGAATGTTCTGTTCTACTGGCTAACCTTTTTAAGCACTGCTGGATAGGTTTTGGTGGTGAGTGGGTATGAGGTGAGGGGACAGAAAGGGAAAAGATAACCAGCACTGACTGCCACTACAGCAGGGAGTTAACATTGCTTCTTCTCATTTATGCCTCATAACCGCTTTTGTGTTGCAGTTTCATATTACTTGTCAAATTGTCTTCATTTGGTTTTGTTTCTTCTTGAATGAATTTTGGAAGGTAAGAGAAAGCTAGTTATTGGAAGAGAATGTACTTTTAGATTAAATGTTCTTGTTACAAATCAGCAATAAAAAAGTGAAGCCCTCGATGTAGAGTCATATAACTAGAACATACATACAAGGATGCTTCTTGTTCAGTGATTTAACTGGTTCATAATCCACTAAGTGGACAAGAATCCTCAAGCATGGAGCATGATGGGCAAGGTGTAGTAATATTCTGTTGTGATGACCAGCTCTTCTGAAATTATTTAGCACCCCACTCTAGTTTGTGCTCTGTCCTTTAAATCTTGTCCTTAGATTCATTCTCAGTTTCTCTTTCAAAAGAAAGCCTAAATCTTGCCATCTTATGCACTAATTTTTTGTATCCACTTTCTTAAATTCATTTCTGCTTACCAGATAATTCCTATATTTCAGTTGCTTTTCAGACCCCTGAAGGCGGATATGCCTTCACCATTACAATGACATTTCTCTGACAAAGACTGTCAGTGACTCATTTGCAGACCTATTTGGCCTCACTAAAACCTAGCATCATTAATGTTGTTTCTAAGTTTTACTTTTTGCCCCTCTTATATATTTTCCCTGAAGTAGTCTCTACACAAATGGTCTTAAATATATGTTTATAATTCTTTTTTTCTAAATATTTTTAGTTGTAGATGGATGCAATACCTTTATTTTTATGTGGTTCTGAGGATCAAACCTAGTGCCTCATACATGCGAGCCACAATCCCAGCCCTCATAATTCTGATAATATACAGCTCCACTACTGCTTTCTCCCAATCAGTTTAAAAACAACTCATTTTGCTGGACTCAATTTGGATGGCTCATTTTCAGCTCAGGCACTTAATGTCTCTTCACTTAAATCTTTTGTCACGATTGCTGTTTCCCTGTCTTGTAGAAAACTCCTTACCTAAACCTTAGTTGTTCTTTTAAGTCTCTGGTCAGGCAGCTTGCTGTGACCAGCTCATTAAAGGTTTGGCAGCAATGAAAATCCACTCCATGTGCTATATTCACCTAGATCCACCACATTCCTCCCCTAGGATCTGGGGTACTTGCATGCTGTGCTCTAAATCATCAAGTCTGTTGTCTGACCTAGGAATCACATGTCTTCTGCCAGCATTTAGGAAAATGTAGTTGCAAATATGGGTAAAAATCTTGTACTGCAGATATTGAAAAAAAGCAGGTAAAAGTTGTTTAGTACAGAAGTTATTCAGAGATAAGCCATGTATGGGTTATCTCTGCAGAGAACCCCACCATTATTCATCCTGTTCCCCTTTGAATTAAAGTTTCATCCTGCTATTGCTCTAGAAAAACTCTCCATGCCCTTTCAGGACAACACTTCTGCAGTTATCTTTAAATGCTAACAAAAGAACTGGGCTAGGTGTTTCTGAGCTCTGAATGACAGGAATCATGTCCCTTAAGCCTACTCATACCTTAAATCAACTCCCCTCCCTTTGAATGGGGTCAGACACCACAGCTATTGTCCCAGTGATGAGCAGGTATTCAGCAGGAAGACCATCTAGAAGTAATAGTTCCAAGTATAATCTGTGTACTATCACCTTAAATCACTCATTATTTTTATGCTACCTAATTATGAGCTCCAAAACACTTGAAAATGGTGTTTTCCTTTTGATGTCTCTTCTAGGATACTGACAAGGGGATCTCAATTTTTACCTTATACCTGAAGGGCAGTCTTTTTTGGTTTGGTGATTATACCAAGATCCTACTTATTTTAAATCACAAATACCTCCAGCTCTTGACTTAAATGCCAGTCTGTCACTTGAGTGTACATTCACTACCTAAACCACCTTTGGCCAGTTTCAGTACATATGAAGTTGTTCTACTTTGGGATACTAAAAAGAACTTTGAACTATAATTCTCCTTATACACATACAGTGAAAGTAGCATTAGCTTCCTATAGCGGTTGAAAGGAACTATCATAAACTCAGTGGCTTAACATGACAAAAGTTGGCCAGGTGCAGTGGTGCATGCCAATAACGCAGTGACCCAGGAGGCTGAGGTAGGAGACCACAAGTTTGAGATTAGCCTTGGGAACAGAAGACCTGTCTCAAAACTAAGGGCTGGGGATGGACCTCTATGGTAGAACCCACTGGGTTCAATCCCTAATACCATTAAAAAAAAAATCTTTTTTTCTTTTTTTAAAGAAGGTATGCCATTACACTTCCCATGTGTAATTTCCTCTCAATAAAATCACATCTGCAAAATCCCTTTTTGCCATCTTAGGTAAGGTTCCAAGGACAGGATGTGTATATTTTTTAGGGGACCATTTTTTTTTTCCTATCAGTATTTTAAACCTTACAAACATTAAATTTAAAATTCTGTCACTTTGTTTACAAGTCAAATTAGTAGAGGACTGGAGATAGAATGAATGATTACCCACCCCTTTCCCTAACTACTCCCAAGTTATTTTGTTATAAACAGAGATCATACAACACAATTTACCAAGACAGTTTAGGGAAATTATTACTTTTATAAAAATTTTTTTAACCAAACCAAGTTTCTTGGTTTGGTTAAACTATATGGTCCTCTTGTTTATAGACTGTCTGAAGGAACGTGGCTCTCTTGGCTCTCTGTAAAGCTTTGTTTCACAGTAGAAATGATGAATGCTTTCAGGAAACACCACCACTCACACCAACTTGTACGTGTCTATTTTCAAAGTTAATTTGAGCTCAAAAGAATGATTATCTAAAACTGTAATAAAAAGCTACCTATCTTACTGTTCAAAGAATACATAAAAAAGCTTGAACGTAATATTTATTTCGTGAATTTACATGTGAGGTCATTTACAAAGAAAAAATACAGACAGATGCAGCTTTCAGTGCAGTTTTCAAATAGTTTCACAACAGGCAATAGTCTGAGAATTTGGAATGACAGTATTGAATGGCACATGCTTCAGTTTCCTTTTTTTTTTTTTTCTACCCAACCCCAAGGAGAAAGAAAGGAGAAGAGTAGAAGAAAATGTCAGTGGTAATGTAAATGCAGCCATGCAAATAAAAACTTTTTTTTAAAGCCAGAGGTCATTCAGAGATGTATAACATTCCTATAGATACATAATTTAAGAACAACAACAACAAAAAGCACAGCTCTCCAGTTTTCCATTATCCCAATCTTAAATTATGTTAACAATCCCAACTAAAATCTGTCGGCGGCCTCAATATTTTCCAAAGACTGACTTTGGAAGAAGAATCATTTCTAATAGTTTCTAAAAAGATAGCATTTATAGACAAAATCTTTTTGGTTTCAACAGGATAAAGCACCCTTTTAAAGAGGGTAAATGTTCATTTATTTCCAACAATGTAAACTATAATTAGACTTCATTTCCAGAAAAGTGTAACATAAGGCTTGTTCTTTTACTATATTCAGACTTAAATAAATCCCTCCCTATCTGATGTCTAAAACAAAAGACCTGTTAAGAACACAGCCCTTCCCCCATATGAAAGATCCTTTTGCATATAAGCCAAAGGATGGTCTATAAAAGTAACAACTGGAAATACACTAAAGTGATTCCTAAGTAGGGAGGAGTACAGATAAAACCAACAGAACAAAAAATCTGCTGTTAGTATACCTAGTGAAGACCTAAAAACGGGCCATTAGTCCTTAGAGGTTAAGGTTAGCACAATACAAAAAAGCACTCTGCATGTATTCAATGTCTTTGAAAATACTGGCTCAAAATTCCTTAAGCACATGTAGCCATAGCTAAAGCACTATACCTGTCATTTCAAAAAATACTATGTTTTGAAAAACCAAACAAAAAATCCCCAAAACCCCTACAACTCTTCTGGCTCCAAGACTTACATCCTTTCTGAACTTAGCCATATTTTCTTCACTAGAAAATTTAAGCAAATTAAACACTCCCATAAACACACTCCATGTTTACTTGGGCTATACACATAACCTATACTTTTTTTTTAAAAAAGTATGCTTAAAATAGTACTACTGCAGAAAAAGTTATTGGCAATTATGAACACACTTCTATTTCAGCTTACCTTTTTTCCTGGTCCACTTCTCCATTATAGTCTTCTTGTACAGATTATCAATCAGAATATCTTGACTCCTGCAAAATTTACTGAATGAAAACCAGCTGTTGTAGACTTTTAAATTTCTAAAGTTCTGCAGAATCAGAGGCATTGTGCATGCTGGCAATGGTTAAAGGATCGCTCAATTTATTGTAATCCCAATTTAAGCTTTCCATCCTTAAAAAAAAAAAAAAATCAACTAAAAAGGATTAATTGAATATAAATTATTTATATACGTGTTAATTTAAAAACAACATATTGTAAAACTCATATTATACACAAACATATATTTATATATTTAAACAAAATCACCCAGAACATAATCCACCCCCACCCCATTAAAAAAAAAAAAAAAACTGAATCAACAAATCAAAGTTTTTATTTGCATGGCCAAATTATTACTATGCAACTTTGTTTTAATATCCCTTTAACAGGTTCTAAGCTTTTGTTGCACAGGGAATAAAAGCTGCAAGACTGTGAACTTCCTTCAACAGCCACGCCCACAACACCTAAACATGAAACAGGTAAAGAATGACAACACCACAAAGGGGAATACTAAGTTCCACCATTCAACACAGTTTATGAGTGTCCTTAGGGTTCAGTTGAAGAGGGGGTAAACTTCTTTTAAAAAGAACGTTAGTCTCCTTTCCCCTTGTTTTATAATGTTGGTGGTTTTAATCCGTATTTCTTTGCAACTTCTGTCTGGGCATGGGCAGCATCGCAAAGTGAATACAGATGAGCCATCTCCATTTCTGATTTGGCCAGGTTAATAGCTTTGTTGAACATGTCAATGGCTTTCTCCATGTTTCCTCTAAAAGAACAAAATGTTTAAAATTCTCATATTAAACAGGCATTTCACAGTATCTAATAAAGTCTATAAGTGCTGCTACATGAAGTCTGACAAACTAAGTTTCAACTATGATTCCAATAAGATAACTTCTTTCATAAAACAAAGAAAAGTGTCTAGCACAATGAAAACACTCAGGGAATGTTAACTACTTTTACGAATACTGTGTGCTTCCATTATACCTCTTACATTGTTTATAGCCCCTTAAATCATATAGGTTATTTAAAATCATAATTCTGTTTGGTTCCTCAAGTTTTCATGTTTCTGGTGAAACACAGGCTCCTTTAGAAAGCAGGGACCACCTCCGAGAACTGAAGCCTTTCCTTCAGGGGCCTTAACTTTGAAGGTTTATGCAAGCCCACCTTCTTTCTACCTCTCCTCTTACCACCCTAAGCCCAATCCCATGCACTTCTACTTCAGTAACAAAGGGACAAACAATCTCCATTCTTTGACTCTGCCACACACTCATTCCTGCATACAACACTCAGATTATTTATTGCCCATTTGCCTGATTCTGGTCAAATCCTCACCTTTGTAAGGCTTAGTTCAAATACCATATCCTCATGAAAAATATTTTCCCTTCCAAAAACAGGGAATGAGCTGCTTTACCAGCTATGGGCCCATAGTTCTATTTAATTCCATGCATAGTTAGATGAATGTGTATTTATTTACATCATAATCTTACTTTCAAGTTCCAGAACCTAGTATTATGGCTGATAATTACTGTTTTTGAGTAAACAGATGAATATGCTTGGGCAATAAGATAAAACTGACCTCTTAACAGTCTTAAGTGTGGCTAGGCTTTATACAGTTAATGAGAAACAATTGTTATTGTTTTAACTATGTAAATGTGCATACAGGTACGTAATCCAAAAATAAATACTTATAAAGTCTCTAGTTATATTTATTAAGTCTTCCAGTTAGACTCTAAGAGGAGGAACCTCTAGGGTGACCATATTTAACTCACTACAACGTATGCCTATATGATTGATTTATTTTTTTAAAGGGGTCTTTTTTTTTTAACAAAAATTTTTTTGTTTAATTGTTGATAAACCTTTATTTCATTTATTCATATGTGGTGCTGAGAATCGAACCCAGTGCCTCACTATGCCAGGCAAGTGCACTACTACTGAGCCACTGTCCCAGACCCTGATAAAAAAATATTAAAAAAATTAAGTCTAAGTTGTTGATAGACCTTATTTATTTATTTATTTATTTATATGTAGTGCTGAGAATTGAATACAATGCCTCACACGTGCTAGGCAAGCACTGAGCTACAATCCCAGCCCTGATAGACTTATTTTAAAAAAACAAAACAAAACCTTTATTTAGGAGTTCAGATATTAGATTAACAACTAGCAGATATGCTAAATACTAGCATAATCAGCAATTTTATTCATTCATTCACATTAGTTTTATTTAAACGTAAAGTAAGATTTACAGTGGAATTCATGTTTTTTAATTGTAGGTGGACATAAGACCTTTATTTTATTCATTTATTTTTATGTGGTGCTAAGGATTGAACCCAGGGCCTCACACATGCTAGGCAAGTGCTCTATCCCTGAGCTAAAATCCCAGCCCTTACAATGGAATTCTTAAAAGAACAATTAACTAAAATTTCACCAAACCACTTGATTAAATAAGGGGTCTCAGCAGGATTTACAAACACCTTAAATGCAAAGTCTTTTTATAGATTCACCTTTCTAAAAAGATTCATAGCTTTGCTCAAAAACAATTAAGAACAAATACCCTATTGTAGTAAGAGAATATGTTATTCAAATTAGAACTATTTACATGCAACTGTCAGTACAGAATGATTCAAAATAACCACACAATTCATTATTCTGTCTCTCTGTAGCAGGAAAAGGATCCCAGGAAGCCAGAATGATGGGGAATTAAGAGATACTGTGCAAATTCCTAACCAATGATAGTGACAGGATTAGCAATTCTGGCATCGGTGAAATATGGACTTGAATTCTGTATTTGTTCCTGACTCACTGTGTAACCATGTTAACCTATGTGTCTGGGCATTAGTTTCTGCACTGTTCACCCGAACTCAGGATTTTATATCCACCATCTTTATAAAGAGCGGGGTATAGATCAATTTAAGTAATATTTGGAAAACACTTCAAGTTCAGTACTTGACCTAAAATAGGGACTCAAATGGAAAGCAATGCCACCATTAAGATGCTGTACTACAATATGTCCCATGCTTCAACAATTATACCTGTAAACGTAGACCTTTAAAAGCAACTCTGGATATAAAACAAGAAGTTATGGGAAGTCAAGAGTTGGAAAAAAATAATTTGATACAACCCCAATTTGAAAGAAAACTCATGGGGGTTCAGAAGATGTTGCAACTTGCCTACTTGCTTGTTCCTTGTCTGCTGCTTTGTAGAATACAGATCTCATGGCAATCTGGCTATCAATCTTTCTTGTTCTATACTCCCTAAAATATTAGCACATTACATGTGTTCTTTTTTTTCCTTCCAACGTGAATCAGGTGAAAAGAGGAAAGAACACACAGATATTAGAGGAAGACTTAGTTTCTAATGCATAAATTTAACTTATACAACTTTTACAAGTGTGATTTTTAATTTTAAAAAATGATAAAATGAGGCAATTGAAAGTTACATGGTTTCAAAGGAAGCTTGCATCAATAGGCATAACTACATGTATGTAATGAGAACAACAAGGTATCCTATGGAGCTGCCAAAAACTTGCTAAGAACAGACTCTAGAATTACCTTTGCACTTCAATAGTTCCCATGGTTTCATATGCAAAATCACATTTATTATCAATTTCAATAGCTTTGCTGATAAGCTCCAAACCTCTATCCAAATCTTGCTTCCACTGAAGCTGAAGTAAACTGCAAATGCAAAAAAGCAGTCATGTGACCATGGCTCAGTATCAACAGAAACACAAATGTATTACACAATTTCCATCCTCAATAAATTTTATTTTGACTTATAAATAAAAACTACTCAAAGCAGTACATAATCAGCATCACATTGTGTGTGGATTTTTTTCCCAACCTATTACTAGTTTTATAGTCTAAGTTCCTTATTAAAGAGAAAAAAACAAAAACAAAACACATCTGGGCTAGGGGTGTAGCTCAGCAGTAGAGCATGAGCTTGTAAGGCCCTGGATTCAATTCCCAGTACCATCACAACAACACACACACACAACACAATAGTATCCAATGGTCTGGGATCCATTATTATTATTTTGTACCAAAGGATTGAACCCAGGGGTGCTTAACCACTGAACCACATCCCCAGCTCTTTTCTACATTTTATTAGAGACAGGGTCTCACTGAGTTGCTTAGGGCCTTGCTAAATTGCTGAGGCTGGGCTTGAACTCTCATTCCTCCTGCTTCAGCCTCCCAAGTCGCTGGGATTACAGATGTGTGCCACCATGCCTGGCTTGGGATCCATTATTGACTTGCCTTGCATTCCTTACTTTTTACATTTTTAAGCGAGGTTTCTTTTTTCTTTTTAGTATTTATTTTTTAGTTTTAGGTGGACACAATATCTTTATTTTTATGTGGTACTGATAGAACCCAGTGCCTCATGCATGCTAGACAAGCACTCTACCACTGAGCCACAACCCCAGCCTGAAGTTTCTTATATTTAAGTACACAAGGATAGAAATGCACACTCTGTATTTTTCCTATTTTGATATAAGTAATGTTTGACAGGATGCTTTGAAGTAAAATTGAAACCCTTAACCTAGGGTAAAAAATAGGACATTTATTAATTTTATATAAGAATGAAACAGCATTTATAAGTGTTAGGAAACTGTTGATGAACTCACAGATACCACAGTCCCATTCCTCAAAGGCCAAAAGAAACCCACTTTATTACAATGAAGGAGAAATTTAGTATCTTATTGGAACAAACAGAACCACAAAAATACATACCCTTTATGAACATATGTTGTGGCATTATCTGGTTCCAAATCAATACATTTATCATACATTTCATCAGCTTTACCAAATTGCTGTTGATCTGTTAATGCCTATGTGAGGAGATACTTCAGTTATATTAAAGAAACTGTTAACCTAAACAGTTAAGAGTATATTGTTTATTATTATTAATATTTACTTCATTTATCCATTCATTACCAAATTATGTTTTAAATAATTGTTATTTAAACTGATTTAAATTTTACACCTTAATTACTGGAGTTTCTAGGTGGCACTGGTATAAATATGAAATCTTAACTGTCCTCTCATTTTTGAAAGTATATGTAACCAGATAATTTGGGAAATTGTGGAATAAGAAAATCTTACTCTGAGTGACAGTTCTAATATTACAATCTCACAAGTATGTTCATCTGCTTACTCATAATTTATTATAATATATATCTTAAGGGCAATACTCACTTGGAAGGATAAGTTAATAAGTTAACCTGTATGTGTTAACTGTTAAGAGTCATTCCTTAAAAGATGACTGATAATAAAAGCAGACATCAAGTAATTTGAGGGTGGGGGGGACGGGACACTATGGGTAGAGGGATGCTCTACCACTAAGCTACAACCCCAGTCCTTTATATTTTTTATTTTGACATATGGTCTCAATAAATTGCCTAGATTGGCCTTGAACTTTTTGATCCTCCTTATCTAAGCCTCCCAAGTAGCTAGGATTATAGGCAAGCACCAATGCACCAGTAATCAGGTACTTTTACACAAATTTCATGGCTAAAATAGATTATATGGATACCAGATCATACTCAGAACTTTCAGAGTTCTTAGTGTTTAAGCCCAAGTCTTGAGGATTAAAAACAGTTAATGTATTTAATTATATTTGTGGAACTACTGGAAGTAGGATTTACATTTAAATATATGTGTATATGTATAAAAGTTACATTACATCTAACTATGTAAATAAAAAATTTAAAATTTCAGTGCAAATACACTGTCATAATGCGTATGCTAATAAGACAGTTCATATAAGTCAAGTCAAACCAGTTTTGAAGGTATAACACTGAAAGGGAATGTGCAAGTAAGAAAAGCTCTGCAGAAGCAGGGCATGGTAGCACACACTGTAATCCCAGTGACTCAGGAGGTTGAGGAAAGATCAAAAGTTTGAGGACAGTACTGGTAACTTATTGGGATCCTATCTCAAAGTAACAAATGGTTGAGGGTGTGTATCTTGGTAGAACACCCCTGGGTTCAAACCCCAGAACCACAAAATAAATAGATAAATATTAAAAAAAAAAAAACTTTGCAGAAAAGTTGTTGATAGTATTGGTTTCTTTAAAGCTACTCAGTGGCCTTTGCTACCTCTTAGCTCCTCACAGAAATCTGCACCCAAAAAAGCCCTTCTAAATTCCATGATGGTAGTGACACTTTCTCGTCTGTTACTAATTAAGGCATAACCCCCAGTATACCCAATCAATACAAATGTCATCTGATAAAAATGCACAATGGCCTTATTTGAACTTTGACACATTCTATAAAATTTTTATATGTAACTAACAACCAATGTTTCATATTTTATTATCCCAGGAACTATAAAGAACTATGACTAAGAAATAACATTATTTCAAACTGAGGTTAAATGACTTCTGGATTGTTTCATATCCCATAATTTCAATCCTGATAATGTAGTGATGTGACGGTCCCTCCCTAAATTTCCTTATAACCTGCCTCAAGACAGCATGAAGAAAACTGAAACTAAATTAGGCTACCTTAAGAATGGTTTCGGGGGGGGGGGGGGGGGAGAGACTTAAAAAGAAAAAAGAATGGTTTAGGGAGAGGAATCTATCAGGGTTATTAATTTTTAAATGTTTTTTGAGTTCTGTGATGTTTGTGGGGAAATAAACTCCAACAATTTTTGTAATAAAAAGAGTCAGAAAATCTATAGACTGATGAGATTGCCAGTTTATGCAGATACCAAAATCAATTTACAACTTGAAAGACTCAGAGGGGGCAAAGTATAACTGAAGCATTAAGAAGCTCATCATTTTTATTGAAAAAGGTGATTTGAAAATTATTAATTTTTCAATTTCAGACTCAACTAAAAGGTTAAATTCAAGTTTAAATTCTACTTTTCATAGCTTCAGTCCTATAACAATAAAGCATCAAAAATTTTAGACAAACCAAAAAGAAATTAAAATAAGCCATTAAATTAAATTAAAAAGCCTAGCTAACCATTTAAAAGGACAATGATTAAACAACAAGAAAATTCTTCCTATGTTGGGTACAGTGGAAGGTGCCCATAATCACAGCACTTAGGAGAATCACTTGAGCTCAGAACTTCAAGGTAGCCTTAAAATACCCAGCCTGGGTAAAAAAGTCAAGGAAAAATAAAACACCTCTCCATGAATATTTTCCCCATCCAATTACAAACAATAAATTTTCCTAAGGTAATTATTTTTTATGAATCAGATCCAAATGAAAACACAAAAGAAATGTGTGCCATAAACTTCACCACACTATGAGTTTAGGGTCATGTTTTCTCAACTCTGCAACATCTTAGCCTCTCCTGAGTGAATTAGACAATCCTGGGGGCCACGAGAAACAGCAAAAAGCTGCAATCAGGTAGCACTGTTTTCCATACTGAGATTCAGCATACAAATGCAGTTCTTTAAAAAATCACATTTACCTGAGCATACAGTGCATAGCCTTCAGCACACCTTGGAAATTTCTTTATGACCTCTTCAAAACCTTTCATAGCTGCCTGGATTTGTGAAGAATTGTTTCCTGTATATGCCTGGCGATACTGTTTAAAAAAACCAAAACATGTCTGTCAAACCAAGAATTCAACAACTTCTAGAACATATTATAGAAAACACAAAATTACATAATTCTTTCCAGAATAGCAGGTGATTTGTTATAATTTGTTGTGTCCAAAGGGTTTCAAGGAAATATCACAGCAGCAGGGAACCAAAGAGCTGGCCTCAAATTTGGCAATCACAGGTTTGCGCCAGTGTGCCCAGCTACATGGAGGAATTTTTTTTTTGGGGGGGGGGGGTACCAGGGATTAAACTCAGGAACACTTGACCATGGAGCCACACTCCCAGCCCTATTTTGTATTTTATTTAGAGTAGGGTCTCACTGAGTTGCTTAGTGCCTCACTCTTGCTGAGGCAGGCTTTGAACTCATGATCCTCCTGCCTCAGCCTCCTTTGCTGCTGGGATTATGTGTGTACCACCATGCCTGGCTACATGGGGGAATTTTTAACTTGATAAATTTTTGTCTCATTTTTCATCTATGAGTGTGTTTATGTTGTAAATGCAATTTCTTTTTTTAAAAGGAAAATTCTTTTAGGACTCTGGTTACTTAATTTTAATAAATTCACCTTTTCAGTTTTTTGTTTCTGAGTGTCAAAGAACAGTTCTATAAAGGAAGAACGAAGACAACAGTTATGTGGTCATGATTATAAACTACTTCCTCAAAATGCTTTTTTTTTCTATGCTGTTCTATTATAGAAAAGCAGACCAGTTCTGTTTAGGACAGCATAAACCCAGGATCAAATATCTGTCAAGATGAACTCAAAGCACCTAGAGAAATACAGGAGGTATATATGAGTTAACACATATGCTTATTAGTATTCTGTACCCCCTGTAGTCATCCTTTGGGTGAAAAACCGATTTTTCTGAAAGACAATGAGATACTCATTTCTGTTGACCCTGCAAATAAAAATAATTAGGAATTACAAAACAAAGTAGTACTTACCAATGCAAAACATTTCTGAGCTTGTGCCAGAGCAGACTCAGGTCTTAGTCTAATACATTCATCAAAATCTGCCACTGCTTCTTCAACTTGATCAAGCAGTATTTTCAGCTAGGGAAAAAATACATAAATGCAATTCAAAATAATTAAACTAAATGTCAATTAGGTACCTAGTGTCTCTTCTGTTATCATAGCTAATATTCAGTATGTAGTAATTATTCAATACCGAGTTAATTTGTAGAAACAATAAACTAACCTATAATTAAGACAAATGTTCAAGATGAATTAAGTAAAGGCCAATTCGAATTGTAAACTATTATAATATTTTTTTCACAGCTATTGGAAATGACGTAAGAAAATCAAGAAATTCTCAAAACTGGTTACCAAATAACTCAATCTATAGATCAGAACTCTAGGTAAGAAACAAATTTACCTGTCCTCGGTGGTGATAAACATCTGCATTCTGAGGATCAATGTCAGCAGCCATGTTAAAATCCTGAGTAGACAGCAAAGGCTGCTGCTGTTGCATGTACATGCTGCCTCTTTTGATGAGGGCGTTTGCTCGAAGCTATGGACCCAAAAGAAAAGGTTCATCATTACTCCCCCCCCCACACACAAAATTTAGTTGTTTTAAAAAACAAACTGATGGAATTTACATGCTACAAAGGTCATCCCTTTAAAGTGTACATGTCAACAGTTGTTTTTAGTATCACTTTAGTTGTTTTTAGTATCACTATCACTAGATTGTGCATGGATCATTCAGAATATTCCATCATCCCCCTCCCCCACCAAAAAAACTCTATACACATTAACAGCCACTCCATTCTCTCCTACTCTCTATCCCTTGAAAAAACCACTCATCTCCTTTTCATTTCTATGGACTTGCATATTCTGAATGTTTCATATATAACGTGGTCTTTTTTTTTTTGTACTGGTTCTTTCATTTAGCAAATGCTTTTAAAGTTCATGTGTGTCATAGCATATATTATCCATTCTTTTTTTATGGCTAAATAACATTTCATTGTAAAAATATATCACGTTTTATTTATCCATTCATCACTTGATGGACATGGGGGTTCCTTCAATCTTTAGTTATCATGAATAACAATGCTGTGAACATTCATGGATACATTTGGTATATACTGAGGAGTGAAATTGTTGGATTACATGGTAACTGTATATTTAACTTTTTAAGAAAGTGGCAAAAAGGTTCTACCATTTTACATTCTCACCAGCAACAGAAGGTTTCAATTTTTCTACATCCTTACCAATGCTATTATCCATCGTTTTGACTTACATCCTATTGTCTATTTTTACTATATAGCTATCCAAGTAGGAATGAAGTGACATCTCATTGTGGTCCCCCCATCACCATTCTGGAGACTGAACCCAGGACTTCATACAGGCAAGTGCTCTACCATTGAACCTTTTTTTTAAAACCCCTACCCATACCCCTTAATTTGAGAAAGGGTCTCAATAAGTTGTTCAAGTTAGCCTGGAACTCACAAATCTTCCCTGCCTCAGCCTCCCAAACAGCTAGGATTACAGCTATTTGCCAATATGCCCAGCTCTCATTGTGCTTCTGATTTACATTTTCCTAATAACTAATGATGCAAGCATATATATTTTCATGTTATTACTAGCCATTACAAGCCCTCACCAGATAAATAATCTATGAGTGTTTGCTCCCATTCTATGGAAGGTGTTTTTCTCTTCTTAATGGTGTCTTTTTTATACAAAAGTTTTTTTAAAAAATTTTAATTAGAGCAGTATAATTATACACAGTATTTGGGTTCATTGATAAAATTATATATACAAGGAATCTGGTTTCAATTCCCACTCCCCCTTTTCCCCTTTCTCTCGCCCCCTATTTTCTCTCCTCAACTCTAATCTTTTCAATCCTTTATTTATTTTTTATTAATGCTTTCTACATAAACATAAAGGTGAAATTCCCTTTGGTACCTTTACATGTGACTATAACATGATTTTGTTAAATACATTCCAAATTTCTTCCCCTTTCCCTTCCTTCCTCCTTCCCTCTTGTTCTCTTCCTTCAATTCCACTGATATCCCCCTATACCTTGATATCTGATCTCATCTCCAACTATCTTCTTTCCCTTATTTTGCTCTAGCTTCCATGTATCAAGAAAACATTCAACCCTTGATTTTCTGAGCCTGGCTTATTTCGCTTAGCATAGTTATCTCCATTCCTATCCATTTACCAGCAAATGCCATTATTTCATTCTTTGTGGCTGAGTAAAACTCTATTGTCAAACATAAAAGTTTTTAATTTTGATGAAGTCCAGTTATCTTTTTTTGGCTATTTGTGCTTTCAGGGTCATATCTCAGGAACCCCTGCCTAATACATTTACTCATCTGTTTTCTTCTAAGAGTTTTATATTCTAAGCTCTTACATTTGGAAATCTGATCCATTCTGGGTTAATTTTATACATGGCATATAGCAGACATCTTTACTACTTGTTGTTAATTAAAAGTTCTGATTAAAAAAACAAATAGGGGCTAGGGATATAGCTCAGCTGTATCAAGGTAGAGTGCTTGCCTCGCATGCACAAGGCCCTGGGTTCAATCCCCAGCACTAAAAAAATAAAAAAAATTTTGTTCTAAGCAACACTATGTAGGTCAATTACATGTATATATAAAACGAGAATGGCCCCCCACATTCTTAAAAAAAAAAAAAAAAAAAGTTTAATGCCCTGTTTCAAAAAAATAAAAAGGGGCTGGGGATGTAGGTCAGTGGTAAAACACCCCTGGGTTCAATCTCCAGTACCAAAAACAAACAAATAAACAAACAAAACCCCCCAAAATAATAGATCACAAATCTTCACAAATATCAGCAGGAAATAAATATAATTAGGAAGCTATCGTCAACTAGAAAATCTAATTTTGAAACTTTTACAAATTTTAAGCTTTAAAAACAACTTTTATATTCCCCAATATATGAATGATTCATTTGGAAGTGAAAGAAACTACTGAGTTCACTTAATTCAATGAAGAAACAGGCTACAGAGATTATAACACTAAGAAGGAATGTAGTTAACAGTTGGCTAAGTTGTGTCTTGTAGCACTAAGTAAAAGAATCATGTAATTCAAGATATCCCCATCTTAATTATGAAAATTATCACAAACACATTAAGAACACTTGGAAAATGAAAAGCTATCCCAACCACACAACTACAAAAAATTTCAGTATAGGTATATATCACATTTTTAGAATCATTTTTTTCCTTCCTATAACACAAAATATATTGTAGTTTTAGAACCTGTTTTTTTTTTTTCTTCCTATAACAAAACCTTTCTTCTTATTTGTTTAGTCTCATTAAACATGTTTATAATCTGGTATTATGGATCTCAAGCTACCTACAGTAGTACCAATAACATTGCTACATTATCCTTATCATTACCCAAACATAGTCCAATATAGTAGAAAATAGCTACACTGGGAAGCTGAAACTACTAGATGTTACAAAAAAAAAAAAAAAAAAAAAATACTTTCCTAGTTGAAGATACATATTATTAATATTTTATCTTTTAGATTCACTACTCCTATTTTTTCAGCATTAGGTATAATTTCATCTGAAGCAAAAATAGCCTTTTGGAGAATGACAAGTAAAATGCTAAAATAGCTGGCAAAATATCTATAAAAGCATCATTTCTATTTATTAAAATTTTCACATGCACATGCAGTTCAAAATGTACCTTCACATTAGCTTCTTTCAAACTGATGACCTTATCTAAATCAGGTTTGGCTGCATTGGCATTGCCAATAAGCAAGTAGAAGGTAGCCCGGAGTAATAATGCTTCTGCCATGTATTTGCCTTGAGCTTCTATTTCTTTTGAGCATTCACTTATGATTTTGTCATAGTTTTCTTCTTCCATGTACTGTTTGGCTTTTAAATATCCAGAACTGAAGATGAAAACAAACAGAGGTAATGATTTACTATGAAAGGACCAAATGCTAAAATCTTGCCACATTTACCACACCTATGTTAAGTAATTATCTATGTTGCCTTAAGAAGTTAATCAACCAGTGTGGAACTGGAGTTGGAAGGTAGAAGTTAAATGAATTAGGATTTATGAGGTAAAATGAGTTTTTCCTGATGGTTTAGTTGGCTGTTAAAAAAAGAACCTGCAGAGTCAATGGCAGAATTCTGAAGTTAACACCTTGGCTTAGATACATCAAAAGATGAGCTAATCAAAGACACAGACTGGTCTGTAAGGATCCTGGCTTATTTTCCTTCCTGTCTGGCACATTGATAACACTCAACAGTTGTTTAATGCCTAACAGAGGAACAGAGAAATAGGAAATAATCAAATGAGTTTACTATCATAGAAGCCAAGGTAAGAAGTATTATCAGAGCCGGGCTTTGTAAAGATCACTGTTTTGTGGAGCACAGACTGAAAAAGGGAACAAGATTGAAGACAGGTAATTACTAATGGACTCCTCTTACAGAAGATTCACGTGTTACCTAAAAGAACAGACCTAGAGTTATTAACTGGACTTATTAAAGAAGAAAATTTAAAGGAAGACTCTCCTATCAAATACGACTTTAAAAGATGCTTGTTTTTAAAACTGCAGTGAGCACAATATTGCTTATTATTCTTTTAAGGTGTTAACTTGATACATTTCAGTAAAAACCATACTTTGAATTCTAATCTTACCATGGGCTGGTGATATGCGATACAATACTCTTGTATGATTCTATGCAGTGGCAGCAAGCCAGTTTCCAGCGAGCCATGGGATCATGAGGACAAAACCAATACTCTACAGCGTACTATGTTGCTCAGTTATAATACACAGTAGCTTAGGTATAGTAAAATACATTTGACTTATGGTATTTTCAACCTTTGACATGTTTATTGGAATATAACTCCATTAAGTCAAGGAACATCTGTATAAGTATAAATTAAAGTATATTTTCTCATTGCAGTTGTTATATTAGGTATAAAGAAAACTGGCATGCAACTTAAAACTTATATCAATTAAAATATTTTAATTTTGCACTAACATTTTCTATAATCACATTCTAATAGTTCTTATACTCTCTTTTATTCTTTAGGTCACTGGGCTAACAAACAGAAACAAATCAAAAGTAAAAAAGTTACTCCTTGTTGAGAACTGAAGCGCTAAGTATATACAATCATGATCTCTAAACCCCCCAAAAACCCTGCAAGCTAACTATTACTAAACTCCTAAATAACCCTGCAAGATTACTAGCTTCATTTAAAAGATGATGAAGCTAAGACTATGAGTCAAACAGAATTTAGAAATTTGAGGACAAATCCAGTTAGTGTTCTGATGAGAACTAGCTATGTCCTGTCATCTCTCAATATATCTCTTAAAATAATTAATTTCACTTAGTTTTTATGAAAGAAAGACTATTTCCTTACCAGAAGAGGAAATTATTTACATCAGTGTCACCAGAGATATCAGTTATCTCAAACATTTATTTCCTAACTATGATTTTTAAAAGAACATATATCAATTAATATTTGTACATCTAAAAAGTGGCAACAACAATAGAAAAAGTGGAGATAAAGATCAAAAACAATCTGCTTTCCAAACCCTCTAATGCTTTAGATGCAAAAATCCAGTTATATTTTACTACTTGAACAATATTGCTCTTCCATCCAAAATCATTTAAAAATGTCATGTTGGTACTAATACTGTGCCTTCTCTTAGCCGAGAGTCAGATTTCACTGCAAAACACAAGTAAGTGATAAATAATGAATGGGAAGCAGGCTAGATGGCATAAACTACCTTATATGGCTAGATCTCCAGTTGTAAACATAGCATCATGTGCTTTGGTTTTAGCTCTCTATAAGATCAATCATAAGAAATCTAAAAAATGGTAATTTCCTGGGCAAGCAGAAAAAACCTTGAAGAAATTTACTCCTTAAGCACTCCTAAGCACCTCACAACTTATAAACTAAGAATAACCTGGCTCTAACATTTGGGTGTTGAGCTACATGATAATTTTCAAGTTAGTGCCTCTATTCAAACCACCTGACTTGAGAATATCACAAAGGACTTAAAAGCAGGATAGTTGTGGCAGTAAAAAGTTGAGTCACCAGAAAAGTAACAAACACACAGTAGAAAGAGAAGTATTTTTACAATAATAATGATAATATAGACGTTTTTTATTATCTATCCATATCTGTGGATACGATTTTTTTTTTTTAGGTGACTGAACCTATTTAAGCTCAAGGATAAGTACATGGCACCAAAAAAGCTGTTCAGTAGACACCATGCTTTATGTACTTACTTTTCTTTTACTTCTAACGCTTCTCCTTCCTTGTCTTTATCTTCATCAGATTTCTCTCCTTTCAGCATGGGCTGAGAAATGATATCATCAGTGAAAGAACTGAAGTAAGATTTGATAAACTGTGGAGATGGCATCAGAGGTTCACGATTCTGAAATTTAACCATGTTTTAAACTTAAGAAAAAGGATACACACAGCAGAACACTAAGAATAACTGTTACAAAAAATGTTAAAATCATTTACCATGGGCTTTCCTCTGAAGATTTCCATTACTGGCAAAAACCACTGAAAGTCATATTGCATCTAAAAAAATGGTAATTTCCTGGACACATTTCCTATATTAATTATTTATTTTTGGCATAGCTACTTGATTCATAATTTTTTGAGTTCTTATTTCTCCTTATGAAGCATAATTTTTGAAAGTTTTAACTAAAGATGAAGTAACATAGCCAAAGAGCTCTCTTAAGATTTATTATTTTTGTTTTGTGGTATTTGGGATTGAATCTGGGGTGTCTGCCAGACATTTTTGAGACAGGAGCTCCCTAAGTTGCCAATGCTGATCTCAAACTTGCATTCTTCCTGATTCAGTCTCCTAAATGGCTAGGCTTACAGGTGTGTGCCATCAGAACCCAGCCCTCCATAAGATATTTTTTGGACTTTTTTCAAAATTGAACCCAACAGGTTTAAAATGAAAATATGATATTTAATTTTTATGTATAACAAATGTCATCATTATTATCTTGGTAGATTTTAATGTATTTGTATTTAAAGAGGAAAAAAGGAATCTGGCTTTGTAAGTAAATTATCTAATCTCAGATAAGTGTAGGATAGAAGAAAACTGAAAAAGAAATCTAAGGAGACCTCATTGCTACAATTGTGCTATGAATGTGTCCCCAGTGCAACACTGTTGGGAGTTTGGACTTTATAAGAAGTGAATAAGTTATGAGGCTTCTATCCTCAAGAATGGATTATTATCATTATTAGAGAAGTGGGTTAGTTATCAAAATAGCGGATTCCTTAAAAAAAAAAAAAAAAAAATCAACTCTTGTACCTCTATAGAATGACACAGCACAAAGACACTTACAGATGCCAGCACCTTGATACTAAACTGAACTTCCTAGCCTCCAGAACTATAAGAAACAAATTACTTTCTTAATTACCCAATCTGTGGTATTCTGTTATAGTACTACAAAAACACCTGTATTTATCTTCCTGCTTTCCCTGGGAAGAGATTCAATTTGTCTTAGAGTAAAACAAAAAAATATTTTGAATCAAAGGGATCACTTATCAAGCGACAAATATGCCTCACTTCAACATTTCACTAAAGACAGATCTGAGAAGAAATATATAGTGGCAATCATTTATCACTTTATGGGAAAAGCTTAAATAGAAATGTAAATAGCATTTACTGGAAATTGGGTAAATTACTAAGTCTTTTAGTTTCCCATTTTAGCTTAGAAATGAGGCTACTACCTCCCTGCTTTCCACACGTGGTTAAAATTTTAAAATAAAAATACTATTCTATAAGCAATGGACTTAACTATCACAGGAAAAGGATAAAAATTCTGCCACTTATTAGTTACACGACCTCATTCATGTCATTAACCCTCTAGTTCTCATCTCTAAAATCACAATTGAAATACTTCCCATATTTATTTTATAGGGTTGTTAAAAAATCAAAATAATATGAAAAGTATTCTGCGATTTACAAAGTAGCATATAAAGTGATTAAAAAATATGTGAAAAGCAATATGTAACCTATGCAAATAGAGGTTATTTGTATTTTCTTAGCACTTTTGCAAACCAACTAGTCTACTCAAAAGTGACATTCTGTAAACATATACAAATAAACTAGATTCCTTCAAGTCTCAATTATGAGACCCTAATATGATGTTTCACAAAGTGTTTTTGAGGAATACCAGCCTTATAAGATACTCAAGGAAAAAAAGTTCCATAGTTTTAAGAGACTGAGACCTATTATATTCTTCTTATACTTTCACAACACATTTTAGTATATTCAAGTCCTAAAGTGAAAAAACCTGTTTTAAACTGTGTAATTCCACTAACATTTAGAGATGAAAATTACACACACACACACACACACACACACGTACGTATATGTACTGAATCTTTGCTACTCTCCTAGAACTCTACTTACTTCTTCCCTTGGCCACTTAGCTACAACAGGTCTTTTACACTTAGTAACAGTGTCTCTCACTAAATTGTAATTCCATAAGGTAAGGGACCCTATTCCTCCAGCATAGAACTTTAATAACTATTTGTTGAATTAAGTAAACTATTTCTGTAAAAGGCCAGGTACTAAATAGTTTAGGCCTTGAGGGCCAGCCTCTGTATGTTACAATTAAAAACAATTTGTGAGTGGTTGGATATTAGGGAGCAGACTGGATTTGGCGTGTGGGACACAGTGTGGCAGGGATAGAGGTGGACTCCTATGTTCTCCAAGTATAGCACTCAATAAAGTCTGTAGTACAACTGAAAAAGGATATACCACAAAGCTCAAGCTCAAGGGAAAAAAAGAAATATAATCCAGTTACAATTTCAGTTGTTACCCTTATCACCATGCCTAAATTCAAGTAGCATAAATTAAAAATTACCCTTTATAATGTATTACCCCCCACCACCACCACCACTAACCAACTCAGATTAACTTACTTTGTATTTTTCTTTGGCTTTCTCTTTTCCAAGAAGTTTAAGAACTTTATCAGCTAAGAGCATGCTTTGTTGATTTTGGAACCCTTCTAATATACATACAGCAGTGACATCTAAAAGTGATCGAAACATAAGTATTAGTATGAAATTACTGCAGTTTACAAGATTGGTGGTTCCTTAAACATTCAAAATATTCAAAACAATGGCTGTCCCTTCTCTTTCTGAACTCAATTTTCTCACAATTCTACATCTTTGCTTCTCTGAACAAATCAGTCTGTTGTTGCATTCCCTTGATAACTTTGGCTAGTGACAATGTCTTTCTTTTTCTTATCCCTTTTCTTCGAAAACTCCAATTTAGGTTACCCCTTTCTAAACCAACGCTCCTATCAAATGTCACAATACCAGAAAACCTCAAATTTTGCTAAAATGTTCTCTAAAGCATTTGCATTTGATAATGCAGACCTTTAAAAAAAATGAGCCTTTTAAAATGTTACTTTGGTCTGATGACAAAGTGATAGGTGTGCTTTCCATTTGTGAGATCCTGGGTTGGATCCCCAACACGTGGGGGAGGGGATCTTTATAACAACACTAATTATGGCTAAATCTTATTGATGTTTTAAAAGCAAATCTGAACATGTAGCAGAAAGCACTTTTATGCTGTAGATATTACACTCTGGTTTTAAGCTTCACATCACCTAGAAAAATGTACTTTAAAAGTCAGTGTTCTATTATTTTAATTGCAGTTTTGGAAGCAGAAAAGGCCAATTAAAGGCAGTAGAACATTTATAGCATTTATTAAGAATAAAAAATTCACTTGAATGTTTTGTACCAGTTACATAATTTGCAATTGGGCATAAAACGTCTGAAAATATGAAGGACAAAAAAAGTGTTTTCTCTAAGACTCAAGTAATTTCATATTTATATAGGATATTAACTGAAAATATATAGAATCTTAGAAACACTATCACTTGCTAAAACCTTTTTCTAACTCATGGAGTTATACCAATCCTTACTAAATGCCAAACTTAAAATGTGTGGTGTATAACCTCCAAATTTTAATACCCATTTAACACCATAGTTGAGAACAAAGATAATATTTAAATATCAGCAATTTCAATTTAAACTAAAAAACAAAGTCTCAGTTGGGGAAAAATTTAACTTTTTATTAAAGAGAATTAACTGATTTATCTGCTCACAAGATAAAGTTTCACATATATTTACCAATGACCACAACATCTCTAGTAATTTTTATATGTAAAAACAAAAACATTCTTACCTTCTAAACATTCCTTCTTATTGTCTAACTTTTCATGGGCTTTTGCACGTCTGAAGAGAGCTTTCACATATTTGGGATTAAGTTCAACAGCCTTTGTACAATCTTCGGCCACCTCTTTCCATTTTTGCTATAATTTAAAATATTGATAAGAATTGAAATGATCAGAGTCACACTAATAAAAGTACTGTTCAACAGACATCAGTTTTCCAGACTTAGCAGGCCAAGTATTTGGAGTCCTATAATAAAAAATGTATTCCCAGTACCAAGAATTAACATCTACTATATACTATAAAAGCTCATACAAATATCTGTGCTAAGGCAACCAGATTTTTTTTTTAAAAAAGGCAACAGACACACTTAGGACATCTTTCTACCTCCAAATCTACAAACATACCTGCAGCTTTTTCATACCATTTCCTTCTTTGCTCCTATTAAAACTGAGGAAACACCCATTTTCATCAAAAGCTAACCCTTCTCTCATGATCTGGATCAAGGACTTCACTCTTTCAGCTATCTCTTCTCTGCTTCTCTTCTAAGCTATTTCTATAACTATAAAAACACTTGCTCTAGTATAGTCCATCTTTTAAAATTCCTTATTTGATTCTGTAACTCCCTATAGCTATCCCCCTCCAACAACAAGGGCCAATATTCCAGAGTTGCCACTTCACTTGATTTCCACCTATCTCACTGGCAGTTCCTTCTCAGTTTCCTTTTTGAATTCTCTCCCTCTACTTGATCTCTACATGCTGGAATCTTCATGGCCTCATCACTTCTCTTTCCCTATACAATTATATCTACTGTATTTCTATAATATCTAAAATAAGGTTCTTAAATTTATCTCTAGCCCAGATCACTTTCCTAAAATACAGACATTTCTCAAGTTGTCTACTCAGCGGTCTCATTCCTTTCCACCCACTGGTATTAAAATCCTTGCTTTTTGCCTTTCACATCCAATTCAAGAGGCAAGTTTCGTTGGTCTTCAGTTTCCTTCATGTCACACTGAGGTTACTGCAATACCCTTACCTGGGTCTTCCCAGTGACCATTCTGGGTTTTTTTTGACAGAACAGTGCGAGCAATCTCGGATAATGTTCTTGCCCCGCTTAAAAACTTTAAATGTTTCCATTATACTCAGAATCAAATCCAAACTCTTTAATATTACCTATAAAGTTTTTCCTGATCTGGTTTTTCCAATTTCATCTCTCTTAATGCTCTATAGGAACTTTCATGCCTCTTTAAAAACAACAAACTCTCTCTTGCCTCCAAGCAAATAACATAATACTGCTTTTATTTATAATATTTTCTTCTCCATTATTCTGTGTATCAATCTACCCATATAAATATACAATGATCCTAACATGTAGCCTTTAAAAAGAATGAAACATCTGCATATGCTGATGTTAAAAGGTGTAAGAGATATTGTGACAACTGAAAAAAAAACCAACATACATAAAAGGAATTCATCTTTGGTATTTTTCCCTCTTACATACATACAACTATTCAGATACAGGTTGAGAAATAGATGAAGACAGGGTCACAAGAAAACTTTAATTTTCTACAAAAACCAATTTTATAAAAGCTGAAACAAATATAAGTTTGGAGTACATTTGTAGCCATCAAAACTAAATTTAATTTCCAAAGATTTTTTTTAATTAAAGGAAATTAAGAACAAAAATCCTGAAATTTCAAAATAACTTCAAAAAATGTATTAGATTTGAGTAGCAGTAACTGAAATTTTAAGAAAATATAGAAAAGTAAAAGGAACAGAGAAAACAATCTAGAGTACATACCAACTGTTCAAAGGCAGCAGCTCTGTTTTGATAAAACGTGGAAAGGTCGACATTCTTCTCTGTAGGGCATAAACTAATAGCCTCAGTATAGCACTGAATAGCTTGTTCATATTTTCCTGCTTTAAAATATTTATTGCCTTTGTTCTTGGCTGCCTGGGCTCTATCAAGAGAGTTCTGAAATGAGAGGAAACAATTACCTAACACTGATAATCAACATTTGTAAATAGACTCAGACCACAGTGATTAAATGATAAAGTGATAAAAGAATAATGGGAGAACAGAATGACTGTTATAGAGCGAGTTGCTTCATATAAATAACTACATTTGATAGAATCTTACTAGAAGGGTTGAGCCAAAAGGTTTATATTTTTTAATTTTAAAAAATTCAGACTTTTTCAGTGCTTTAAATACCACTGTCCCATCATTCCTGTCAGTAATTAGAAGCAATGACAGCATCAATTGTTTTCAGTATAATGGATATTAATTAAAACAGTGGTTCTCAGCCAAGGGTAATTTTACCCCCTTGTTTTAGAAAAACCCAGTTTCAGGATATCAGAACCAGCCACCAAAGGTAGAATATACCGTAAGATTAAAGAAAGAGGCAGCAAGGCTGGAAGATACCCATACCCCAAGGTAGAAAGAAGGGAGTTATATGCTTTGGTGGGCTGTAGCCAACCAGAATGTACCTGGCCGCTAACAAAAACTATCAACAGGTCCAACTTCAGTTAAGAAACAGTCTAGGCAAATGTGGCTAGCCTGGTACAACAAACTTGGCTGACCATCTCACAACTTTTTGTCCTGTAGAGTTTGAGATGTGTGTCAAGGTTAACCAAAAGGCAAAATCAGTTATGACCAAGACAGCTGTGGTCATGTCAAGCTGGAGCCCTACAGCCCTACAGGATATTTGACAATGTCTGGAAATATTTCTTCTTCATTTTTTGTTTTTGTTTAGTACTGGAGGTGGAACTCCAGGCATCCTACATGCTATGCAAATGCTCTACTACTGAGCTAAATTCTCAACCCTGGAAACATTTTTGATTACCATAATGAGAAAGGGAGGTGCTACTAACATCTAGTAGATAGAAACTGGAAATGCTCCTAACATCCTATAATGCATAGGACAGCCCACCACAACCAGGAATGATCAGATCCAAAATATCAGCACTGCCAAGGTTGAGAAACTGTACAAAATAATATTACAATATTATTTTAATTTGCATTTTCTTCACTATTAATGAATTTTCTTCACTATTCATGTTTATTGGGTATCTGGTTTTCTTGTTCTAAAAACTTATTCAGTTTTTTTTCCTGCTTTTTTCCCACTAGGTTGTTTGTTAACAGTGTAGAATAGTTAGTATATAAAAACACTCTTGGCATTTTCACTACTGCTGTCATTCTATCATTTGCCATCAACAGACCTCCTACATATGAATCTCTGTCTCAGATCTGCTTTCTGTAGGACCCAAAACAATGCACATCATGGAAAATGTGGAAAAATGGGTAGCTAATACCTACTGAGGACAGTTATGAAAACTTCTCTGTGGATAAAGCCAGTTGTCCAGTTCTAATCAATAATTTCAAAAGTTTTATGATATGTTTTTATGCAAAACTTGATTGTTAACATCATCTAACTTTAATACAGGACTACAGAAGAATATATACCTCTAATAGGTAAATACTGAAACAAAAGCAACTGCCCCTCAAAAATAATTTAAAGAATCTGTGAAAGCCAACTTGCTTGGGGCTCAGGGTATCTCTTAAGTTACATAGATGAGGTGGAGGTACCACTGTACTCGTTCTTTTCTATTCTTACTTCATTTTTCTTTCCTGATTTCCCCCTCCATTTACCTTTTGTTTACCTTCTTTAGTATCACACTACAGCTATAATTTTTTTTAAGTACAGTGTACAAAAAAGGACATGTAGTTCATAGTTCATAGTATAACAGACAATTTAAGTCAGCTAATGTCAACAAGAAATATGTGTATTTTAAAACTTGAGTATGGGAACATGAAAGGAGCCAGGAAAAGCACAAATTAAATAAATGCAAAATCTACCATTTGCAATAGATTTAAGCATTTCCCCAAAGCTATGAAATTTAAGTTAATTAGCAACCTTGACACCCATTTCAATGAAAATAAGCTAGAACTAAGCTGACAGAGACACAACCACAGAACACAAGAGAAGATAACTGAGAATCCCTATGTATAGTTTCTGAGGGGCAACAATAATGGTTACTGTTGGAAAACTTGCATTTACTACACCTCTGCAATCCTCATTTCACTGGAGAGAGTAAGTCAGATTAGAGTGTTGTGTCATCCAGATGGAGTGAAGATCCCCGTTAACCAAGGGACAAGGGACATGCATACCTTACCTCTCTCTTACAAGAGACCATACAATAAGGAATAGCTAACAATAAAGGAAAATCAACACATAAAAGAGAGGCACCCAACTCATATAGAAAACTAACATCTGAGAAAGCAGGATAAAACAAATAAACAGAAAAAAATTAGAGGCCGGATGCTAGGATTGAACCTAGGGCCTTATGCAAAACACATGCTCTACCCAGCCCTCCCAAAAAATCTTGAAAACTAGACGAGTGCATTTACCCTAGTAATCCCAGCTACTGGGTAGGCTGAGGCAGGAGGACCACAAGTTCAAGCCAGCCTGGGCAACTGAGCAAGACCCTGCTTAAAAATTGAAATGTAAAATATTAAAAAGGGACCAAGGGACTAAAGGGTGGGAGGGTAGTTCAGTGGTAGAGCACCCCCAGGTTTAATTTCAGTACTGCATTAAAAAACAGAAAAGAAAGAAAGAAAGGCAATACAGCAGGGATTGTACCTAAAAGCTACCTATCTGGATCTGATAGAATTAAGAGCAAAAAGTTGGTTAGCACAATGATCATTTAGCAATCAACATCAGCCTTCTGCTATGTCAGGAACTTGATCCTATTTCATAATGCTAGGGCCAAAATCAGGCAGAAATTAAAATAAACATTCTGAAGGAAAAAGTCAAAACAGAAAATATACTACTACCAGTTTTTCAATAGAAGAAATTTTAATTTCATCCCAGAGAAATCTTGTTACTGCTTTTCAAAGTCATTTTTCCTACTACCTTCTCAAGCTACACTAAAACTTTTTAGAATTAAAGGGCAAAGTTGGAAAATAAACAAACCCAAAGAAAATTTTGAAAGCTTATTTTTATAAACAAAAAACAAAGACAGAAAGATCTAAAATGTAATGGGAACATCCTGAAATACTAGTATTTTTCATGTGCTTTATTTTCCCCATTCAAAAGCTACTAAGGAGACTTGAAATTAGTTCCTAACTGATCTGAAGAACTGTTTTAACAAGTTAAGTTGGATCATGTCTTCCTTTTCCTGTCTTCTTCAAAACCTCCAGTAACTAGTACATGGCCTGCATACAAGACTCTACATATACAGTTATTATACTACAGCCACTTGAGCCTCCCACATATAACTTTGGTTGGTTCAAAGGACACTAATCTCATCAGGTGCTGTGATGTGTGCTTGGAAACCCAGTTACTTGGGACTCTGAGGCAGGAGGATTGCTTGACAGGAGTTTAGGGCCAGCATGTGCAATACAGTAAGACCTCATCTTTTAACATTAAAACAACGATGACAACAACAACAAAAACTATTCTCTTTTTAGAAAACAAAACAACAGTTTGAAAAGATTAAGTTCTGTGTATTTATTCTGGGTATAAATTTAAAACCTATGAACACTGGTAAGAATATAAACAACTTAGAAAAAGAAAAACTGTTCTCTTCTGCCCACTATGTTATACAAAGTATTATTTGAAATAATTTACTAGAAAATTAGACATACAGGATTTGAATTGCTTTATCTCCTGATAATAAGGAACTGCCAACAGAGCTATCTTCATGATTCTGCTTAATAAATTCAACAAATATCCAAAGCCAAATTTTACATATGATCCTGAAATTTACAGAAGAAGCAAACATCATTAACTGACTCTTCTGAAAAATTCTTTAGAAGAATACCGTAACAGAGATATGAGATAAGGGTCATTACAACCTCCACTGTTGCAAATATAACCTAGAGAGATTGTGAAATCTGCCCAAGGCTGGATTCAAATTCCACCAATCTGAGCTCAGATTGACTAAAAACTGTACTTCCACACTGCACAGATGACTGTGTTTTATTCTATGAAAAATATGAATCTTAATCATCACAACAATGCTTAGATTCACAATCTGGTACAACAAAAGAAACAAACGCAGGTATCATTATCTTGCTCACTATTAACTCCAAGGAAAAAATGAACGAGTGAAAAGTATAGTTGAATTCATTTTTGTTGGTGTGCCTCCACTCTTCTGTTGGTCCTCTGCATTCATGGATTCAACTAACCATGGATTGATAATATTTAGAAAAACACAATGATGTTGATAACATATAGTTCAGTCTAAGATAGCTATTGGTTGAGTATACATGTACAAACTTTTTTCCTTGTCATCATTCATTATAGTTAAACTATGGGTATCTGCGGATGGTACCAGGACCAGACTCTTGCAGATGATGAGACTTGACTATACAACAAGCAACAGGGTAGTTTTTATCTTAAAGGAACATACTAGAGACCAGTGCAGAAAACAAACAAGTAAATTGGCAGGCTCTCAAATGAACTACCACTCATCGAAACACTAAAACCCCAATCCACATTAAGAAAACACATATCAGGTGATTAGTAATTGCACCACTGACAAACAGAAAACTACTGGCCCGTGGAATAGACTACACACACAATTACACATAAATACAAAACTATTTGGGTAAAACATAGAATCAAAAGCAAAATAACTCAGGTAATATATCTAAGAAAACAATGGAAAAGATTAAATGTCTTTTCACTTTTCAACAAATATTTATATTTGTTGATAACACCTAGTCCCCACCTCTTAAAATTTAAAAGAGGCAACTCAACTCTGAAAAACAAATTTTGAAATAAAAGCTACAGTTATCAAAGTATAAATCATACAAATTTGGTGGGATACAAAGTAATAACAATCAAAGTTCACTAAATAAGAGTCAGTGAAAATCACAAGAATTTGCTCTAAAACAAAAAAATGACTGATAGTAAGGAAGGTACTACAGGGAGGAAAAATGATCCACATATGGAAATCTGGAGGATCAGA